ATATAGCATAGCCATCATTAGGTATCACACACACACACACACACACACACACACACACACACACACATGAAACAGGGCTTTTCTGTGGCTTTGGAGGCTTTTTCTGGAACTCACTCTGTAGACCAGGCTGGTCTCGAACTCACAGAGATCAGCCTCTGCCTCTGCCTCTGCGGGATTAAAGACTGCCTGGCTTGAATTTATTTTTCACCACTGAGCCATCTCTCCAGCCCCAGGGGGTGCAAAAGTAAAATTGCCAACTGGACATTAGGATAAAAAATGACTTTAAACATTAGGATTAAAAGTTGACCCTATTGGTAAGGGAGGAAATAACAGTAGAACAGAGGACTTTGGTTCAATTTCTGCCCCCCACATCCAGGAGATGAGATTCTAGATTCTGCATGGTCATGCTGCAGACACCATACACTAACAACTCAAATGTTTAACTCTGACTGAGACTGCCCAGGATCAGGTCTCAGGTGTCCTCACTGTAACCCCAAGAAGCCTGGAGTTTCCACTGTAGCTGGAACTGGCATTAACTCTCCCGTACCTAATGTCTGGACAGTGAGTGAACCGGAACTGAAGACTTTTCAGGGACAGGGGTCTGGGAGTGATGCTCCCAGGGCACTTGAAACATTTTGAAAAAGAAGAAACTTGTTTGTGAGTTTACCTCTCGGACTCGGTGACAAAGCTTTGCTTCTGGTGACACACCCATGTGTCTCCAGTGCCTTCTGTTTATGGTTGTCCTGGCTGGTGGTCGCTGCGGGTGAAGCCTGCGGACTAAGGGCGAGCTCGGAAGCCCCGCACTGAGCTGTTGCTTGTTCTCGGGAAGCAGTTCGTGTGGATGGATGGCAGCCCACGACCCGCTCTCACGTGCACCCGTTTTCATCGCCAACGTCACCGAGAGCCGCAGTGCCCACTTCCTGAACACGAGCTCCTACCGGGGAGAAGCCCTGCCGGTGGGGTGGGGGTCCTTCCTGAGCCTACAGCCAGCCAGCCAGCGAGCGGGCGAGCAGGCGAGGCACCGGTGTGCGCGCCCAGCACCGGCCCGTCTAGACTGAGCGGGGACGCTCGCACCGCAGCGTTGCGTTCTGTCGCTTCCTGCAGAAGACCGCCACTGACGGATGCAGATTCGCTGCTCGCTCGCTCGCTCGCACCGGTGGAAGGGAAGCCCGGGGACCTGGCTTTCAGAGAAGTGGGGACAGGGAAGGACTGCGGGCTGAGAGTGCGGCAGGAGAAAGAGCGGGGAGAGGGAGAGAGAGGGAGAGGGAGAGGGAGAGGGAGGGAGGGAGGGAGACAGAGAGAGGGACAGAGACACACACAGAGAGACAGAGAGAGAGAGACGGAGAGGAGAGACAGAGAGAGAGACAGAGACAGAGAGAGACACAGACAGTGACAGAGAGACAGTGACAGAGACAGTGACAGAGAGAGAGACAGAGACAGAGAGAGACACAGAGAGAGAGAGACACAGACAGTGACAGAGAGAGACAGAGACAGAGAGAGACACAGAGAGAGA